GCCCTGATTAAAGAAATCACTTGACTTTGAAGCAAAAAAACATGTTGATGTCCTCTTTAACACCTTCCACATTTGCATACATTTTCCCATTAAGATGATGTTGCAATGAAAAAGATGGTAATCTGATGGTGCCATACCTGGAGAATATGGTAGGTGAGGGAGAACTTCCCAACCTCACTGCATAATCTTGTATTGTGTCAATCGTGCCACATGTGGATGTGCATTGTCATGGAAAAGAAGAACACCTTTCCAACTGACAAGGATGAAGGGTTTGATTTAAACATTCCAGTTGTTGACTATAGATCTCTGCATTGACAGTTTGCTGTGGACTGAGAAGTTCAAAATGAATTACTCCTTTGATGTCTCACCAAATGCAAAGCATCACTTTCTGCGGATGGAGTCCAGGTTTTGGGGTGTAACAAAGTTATTATTATATATTTATTTTAATATCACCGTTTGTTTAGATTAAATTTATATTTAGAAACATACATAGCTTATACTGTTAAATATGTATTGCAAAACTCCTGCCTATTCTCCAAATTTGAAGACTTTTCAAGAGTAAGAATCAACAATATATTTGTATACGTAAACACTTGTATTAGCATCAGTACTGTTACATAAAACTGAAATTTCTAGAAAGCCTCCACATGCCTATAAATATAACTAACGCAATGCACCAAAAAAAGAGTATCAATTATTAGTGTGCTATGATCAATGTGCTATAAACTTCGGAAGCCATAACTGTGATTGTTATAATGCTTATCAATCGGAAAACTTCAGATATTTGACCAGGAGCATTTACAAATTTCGAAAATTATAAATCATTTAACTTCAGTGAATTCTCATCAGACATTAGTATTTTTACGAAAACATTATATAAATTCATCGTGGAAAACTCAGCATGTGTGGCTGGTAAACAATGAAGGACAAAGCTAGCTAGCTTTCTGTTAAGTGAATTATACCTACGTCAATTCGTAATCAACTTGCTCATCGTGAAACCTCGATAAGATATCGAAGAAGCCAGACTAAAAGGAAGACTTTATATTGCTTGTAAGTTTGTGAAACTTTTGTTTATAAATCATTGTTTGTATTAACTATTTGTAAATTGTATTGTTGTGTGTGTGTGTGTGTATATATGTGTATTAAAACGTATTTGAGTTAAAAAATAAAACTGTGTGTACCAATCTTGTTGGCATATACCATAAACTAACTATGCATCAGCTTTTACTAAACTACTAAATCCAAAGTACTATTTAACTATTAAATTTAAATTTATCAGTTAATGCAATTTCATGCTACTTGAAATTCTAATACGTAACAGGAGTCAAAAGTGGTTTTTTGTCTGGGACTGAGCCATTGTTTTTGGCATTTAATATTCACATAGAAAATCTATTCTTCATCACCGATGACAATTCTATCCAAATATAGTTCACATGCATTATGCACCAGAAAAGATGAAGCAACGTTCACACATTGGAAACGACGATAATCGGAGAGTTTGTTAGGCACCCAAACACCTTCTTTTCCCATATTCCTTAGATGTTTACATATTGTTTCATGAGAGACATACAATTTCAGGGCCATTTCACGAGTGTGTTGCCTTGGGTTGGACTCAACAAGCAGAGCATCAATATCAATTCCAACATGTTGGCCCCTGCCATCACAGTTTTTATGGCTAAAGTCACTTGAACAAAATTTGCTGAACCATCATTGACACTTACGAACGTTCAAAACGTTTCCCTAAACTTATTTGATATTCTTTGTAGCTACAGAGGCATTGTTTCCCTTTTTGTATTCAAACAGCATTAAATGCCGAATGTGTCTGGTCGTGTGCCATCACTATAAGGGATTAGAGTATACTAAACATTACACATTATATAGTCTACACTAACATGACGTTTAGGTGGATCATTTTAACTAATATATGTAATGTACTTTTTTGGGGGAGTGGTTAATGAAAGTGTTCCAAAATGCAACATTAATTTCTTGATGACTTAATAAATGCATACTCACAAACATATACACTGATTTATGGTTTTTAGGTACATTGGCTGTGCCCATGCTACAGAAATTTGCTTTCACTAAAATTAATATTTTAAGCCCATCTAAATTTTTCTTAATTATAGTACATGAATAGGTATGACCCAACTTTAGTTGAAAATTGCACCAGTGAATTAAACAAATTATATAAAATAAACTTCTAGTCATTCCTCCAGACATTCATAAAATAAAAATACTTCAGAGTTAAGATTTATTCAATATAGAATTTCATTCATTTAATTTTTCATATAAGAAATAAGGATGCTCCAAGGAAATTCGAGTTTTTGGATTTCTGAAATTATTTCTAAGCATAATACATTACTCAGGAGAAATTTCATAATGGATGCAAACAAAATTGGTCTAACTTGACATTGCAACCTGAATAAAAAGGTAGTTAATCACTTTTTTGCCAATCACTGTTTTTCAAAGTTATATCTCAGCTTCAAGAAATCATAATGTAATGATCTCAACATGAAATACCAGCTTTTTTTTTATTATTTTCAATTATATAAACCAAAATGGCTTCCAGTTCAGAGTAGCTTAGCTTGATATTTACTTTACTAGAAGGAAATATGTTTGTGAACAACTTTTGCTACAACTACACCAGTCAAGCATCTCCATTATCTTAGTTACTTCTATAGTTACCCCAATTCTTTAATTGATTTGCCTGTTGCCATTTCCCAAACTTAATTCAACTATTTTTAAAAGCAAATAATATTGATTTAACTTCTCAGGTTTATTTATTTTCTTGCTGTGTTTTATATGAATTCTTTTCATTCTCTGAAATCTCCAGTGTTCTCTGATTTATATTTTTCTCCCCATTTTTTGTTGCAGTTTCCCAAACTTAGTTCAATTAAGTTTTTTGTAATTCTCAGATTTGTATTTTTCTTTCCATGTTTGTGTTGAAAAAGATTATTTGGCAAAAACTTTCCACATATTGTTCATTCAGTAGGTGAGAATTAGAAGAAAATAATGATACTTTTCTATAGACCTTCAGGAAGCAAAATTATGGGGCTTAAGGGCTACAGGGTAAACTGTAGGGCAAAGAAATGAGCCAAAATTTTTTTAGTCATATCTAAAAAATAATACCCAGGGGCACACTATCAAAATCCCCTTAGTACGTGTGAAAAGTTTCAGGTCTCTAGGTTCTTTCCTCTTGGAGCTATGGCAGTCTCTCACACACACACAAGCTCTTTGGTTATTATAGATATATTTTTGATACTCAAAATTATTCTACCAAAACACTAATCAGAAAGTTCCAATTTATCATAGGCTATTAATTTAACAAGTTAGATTGAAAGCTTAGCATACAATGTTCTAATTACAGTGAAAACTTCTATGTAATATTTAAAATTATTTTACCCCATTTAAGCAATTGAAATGCAACAGACACCAACCTTTCTTGAAACTCGTACCAATAATAATAATAATATTCTTTCTACAAACCTAACATATATTGTGTCAAATTACTATATTATTATCAACATCAAATTTTGTTATAGATATACGTAACATGCAGTCAATAAAAACAACTTTACATGAATACACATCTTTTCTAACTTCTTCAGAATAGTGAAATTAAAAAAAAAATGCACGTTACCTTGAGACTAATCAATTTCTGGCATAGAGCTGGAAAAAAATGGAAAATTTAATAATATCGACAATAACATACAGCATATAGTAATTATACTAAATTATATGTATATAAAGTGTTAATAAATAAAAATATGAAAAGTGATTTTTCAATAAAAAATACTAAAAAGAATGGTTTTCTCAATATATCATTACTTAAGTAACCCAGTTTCTTATACATTCTTTAAAACAAACCAGTTTCTGTAACTCATAATTTATTTGAAAGGTTCTCATTTACATAGTTAAAATAATTGACCAAAAACACAGCAAGATTAGGCTTCTGATTATAGTATAAGATTAACACAATTTCATATAACATTTAAGACATTCTTTACTGTAATTGGTTATATGTTTACCACAAAAGAATAACAAGATAGGGTCAGACATACCCACCATTATGGGTATTAAATAAATACTGAGCTTTAACTTTTTAAACCCACAGCTTTTTATGCATTCTGCCATAATAATTTTCATGATTTCCTAATAATTATCACCATACCTTATAAAATTCCAATTTCCTTAATTTCATGGATAAAAAAACATGGTTTGGATTAGTTTTCAATCAAAAAGACAAATGTTACTGGATGCTGTCACCATCTGTAACTCAGGATTTTCAGACAGATGTTATTAGCATCAGCTCAGGTTTAAGGAGTTAATGATTAAAAATCAAACCCTTAATCAGACATATCAGTAGGTACTTAAAATTTTGATTTGAGAATTGGACCCATAGGCAGGGAAATTTTAATTATTTCAGTATGATATCAATCATGGTTTTCTATTCTGATTTTTCAAGACATCAACTGGGGATTCGGAGTACTGTCAAATAGAATCAGGACATGGGTGCTATGTGCCAGCAACTAGCAACACCTCTGCCCTTCACTGTAAAACTGTGAAAGTCACTGTTGAAAATGACAATACTTTGGTTCATTGTAAAATCATTACGACACAGTCAGAACATTAAAAATGGTAAATACAAACCACAGTTCAGATAAATCAAATTTCTAATACCTCCCACTCAATTTTAAGTTAATCAGTAAGTCCAATAAACACAAAAGAATATTTAAAAATCTACACTGTATCTTATTATAATATGTTTGTTGAACACAACTGCACTTAAGTACTATTTAGTTTACATTCTAAAAATCCAATTATCTACAATATCTTCCTAGTGCTAACGATGAAATTAAAGCTGAATAAAACTGACAAACTGAATTATGAAACTAAAATAAAGAAGGAAAACTGAGAGTAAAATATGGCAATGATTGACATATACAATAAAGAACCTAGGCAAAAACACTGCACTGTACAGCACATCTTAGCCCTTCCAAAATAGAAACTAATGTCTATGAATGCTCTAAAACTGCTTCCACAATGTACATCTATATCTGACCAATTACAAATAAGATTGTAAAATTCAAAAGTATTTGTGCTTCCATTTGACACAGACCAATCCCAAATACACACAATGTAATATAAAACACAACAGGACTATACAACAAAATATTCAGCTTCCATGACTAAATCCAAATAATAAAGGAGCATAGAGTAAAACTGGATGGATTTAACATGTTTTGAATTAGAATCTTATACTGTATATTATATATAGGGTCAATTAGATGTGGAGTCAGGAGGGCCATTTGGTCTGAGCCTCAAATATAAATGCTTGTTAATTTTTTTGCATTTGTTAAGTTTTACAACTTGTTTTTATGTGCCTCCCAATCAGACCAAAATGTAACAAACACTCTCAGCTTAGAGCTACAAATTATATATACAAATTAAATATCCAAATTTCCCTTTTCTTTAGAGCTAATGATCATCTTATTTTATCTTAATGTATCATTTTTTTTTTTTTTGTTATGGACAGGGGCCTCAAAAATAGAAGTGGCCCAGACCTCTTTGAACCTCTGAGAGGGCCTGATTATATACACCATACTAGAGTGGCACATGATAGTTACACAACACAACATAACAGGTTACTGATTCAAACAGAAGTATATTTATTAAGTTTAATAGACTTTGTACAGATCAAATAGTAGAATAATCCTTAATTATAACCATTTTGAACTAGCAATTTTGGACACTATTATAGAAGCAGTTCATTAAAACATCCATCCTGTCAGATGCACATTTCATAATTAACTAAAAACATTAGTTTCAAAAACTATTTTTTTTAATATAAAAATTCCTCCATGTACATCAGCACCTGCTAAGTTTTTTAAATAAAGCACCACAGTGTCTAGATGAACAAATAAAAACACATTTAATTGTACAAAAAGTGAACAAGCCATATGAAATGTCATCTGGTCAAGTTCTGTAGCAAAATGACCAATCTCTTGCCAAGGCTTATAACTTACAGTAATGAGGTGAAATTGTATCTGTAATATCTTGAGCTTTATGCATAACTATACCTCCCTCCTCTGAACTTCAATTTACTAACTCAGCAATAACTAGAGGGGCACTCAGCAAAGAGCATACCTCCATCACGCAGAGTTGATCATATTTGGCCCTCAAAAAATACAAAAATGTGTTTGTATGTCTGTTGTTATCAACATATACAGACCATTCTTAGCAGGACAATGAGGAATAATGACCACCAAGTTTTATCAAAATCTGATCACTTGTGACTGAGTTATAAATAATGTGAAAAATCAGTCCCCACATTAACAGATAGAGCTTTTGATTTTCCTGACCTTGCTATGACCTTGACCCTCCAAAAACTAATTTATTCTAAATTGGGTCATATCCAAATTGTATACCAGCTTTTGTCCAAACCCATTTAGGCATTTGAGAAATCTTGCTGACAAACACACACAGGGGAGAAACATCACCTTTGGTGGTAGAGGTAAATATAAAATCAGTTTAGTCTCTGAAGCCATTTGAGATTTTATAGATCTTTATGTACTTGACAGTGCACAATGTAGTTTCATTTTGCTCCATTACTTTCTCTGTATTTGTTAAAGGGATCATCTTGACCATCATCAACATGTAGTTTTTGCTATGAAAGTTTATTTTACCTTCTGGCTGACTCTTGAGCTAACCTTAATTCCTAATAAGACGTAAGAACTATCAACAGTTCATTATGTCTAAGAAGGAAATGTAAACCTTTACACACACACTATATATATATATATATATATATATAGTAAACACATACACACACACACACACACCCTGGTAAGTTCCATAAGGTTTGAATAAATATATAAAAGGAATTCACAAAATAAAGTTATGTATTTAGATGTATTAAAAGCATGAGTTGCAGTAATGAAAATTTGGTTAAAATGAATATTATAAATTTTTCTGTGAGGGGATCCAAAGCAATGTTTTAATTCAGTGACTGAAAACTACTATCTGTTAAAACAAACAGTCAAAACATCAAGAAATTCTAAACTATGCATATTAAAAACTAAAGTTTCTGGAATTTAGCACTAAAACTAACTTGAATTCAATTTCACTTGAAGAAACCTGAGAATTTTTTACAAGTATAAATCAAGACAGCTTAATTGCTTTATTTTTTTAATCTTTTAAAATATTTGCTAACTTACCATTATAAATCAAGTTTCTTTTCATGGGATCCTTTTCTTGGAGTTGACAGAGGATTTCTAATAGACACTCCACCAACAATTGGAGAGGTATGCTGTTGTTTAGTACAGATACTTGATTCACCGCCTGATCCTCTGGAAATACACATGTAATTATAGTTATCCTGTATTTTTATTTTGCAAACAAATTTACAGTTCAACCAATAGCCATAGACAGAGACATAGCCATATTATATATATCATCATCATGTGTCATCTGCTTGAAGCAGATTGACTGTCATGAGACACCATTATTCTCTTTTTTCCATCATTCTAACACAGTTACTATATGATATTCCCATCCAATCTTTGATGTTATCCATCCACATATTTCTTAGTCTGCCTCTTCCTCTTTTCCCATTCATTTTTCCTTTAGCAACAGTCCTTGTATTTCATTTCTTCTAATTATCCATCCAAAGTACTCACTTCTTTTTTCTGGATAATTTGATAATAATGTTCTTTTAGTTTTCATCATTCTAATACTTGTTCATTTATCTTATGTTCTGTTCATGATATTTTCATTATTCTCCTATAGGTCCACATTTCAAATCCCTCAGTCTTTTTAGCAATTACTTTAGATACTGTCCACATCTCGGCACCACACAGTAGGGTTGATGACACATAACACTTGGCTAGTCTCATTTGTTTTGTTATGTTAATGTTTCTTGATGTTAGTATTTTTGGCATGCTATTAAATGCACTCTTGGCTATTTCTATTCTTTGAATTTCCACTTTGCTCTTACTATCTTCATTGCTGGTGTGTCTTATATATATAATTTTTGATTTGTTCAACTGATGTTCTCTCTATAGTTAGATTGATTCTAGGAACATCTTGGTTCTTAGTTACAACCATTGATTTGGTCTTTTTAGCATTCATCACCATTCCATAGTCTTTTCCTTTTTCATTTACTTTGTTTAGTAACTCTTGTAGCTCTGATACACTTAGAGTTAGTAGTGTTGTGTCATCTGCATATCTTAGATTGTTGATGTTAATTCCATTGATCACTTAGAGTTAGTAGTGTTGTGTCATCTGCATATCTTAGATTGTTGATGTTAATTCCATTGATCACTATTCCCTTTATATGTTCTATTTCTCTTAATGTTTTTTTCTGTGTATAGGTTGAGAAAATTAGATTATAATACACATCCTTGTCTTACGCTTTTCTTGATCTTAAACTATGGTGTTATTCCCTGTTCTGTTCTTACTACTGCTGTTTGTGATGATCTGGAGATCTTTCTCATCAATTCCTATCTCCCGTAAGCATTCTATCATATTTAAGTGTTTTACCCTATCAAAAGCCTTTGTGTAATCTATGAAGCATATAGTTATCTATATATACATATAGATTAAAAATACCTTCCCTTGTGCCACTTCCTGGTCTAAAACCATTCTGTAAGTTGCTTCCTTCTTGTTCTATTTTAGTTGCTATTCATTGTTGTATTACTTTCAAAAGTAGTTTGGTTATATGACTCATTAAAATGAATGTTCTGAAGTCTGTAAAGTTCTGTGTTTTGGGGGTTTTTTTTTGGTAGTGGAACAAGTATAGATTGTTTCATTTCAGTTGGTATATATCCAGTGTTATATGTTATATTACACAAGTCAGTTATAATATTAAGATTGTAATCATCTAATACTTTCAACATTTCTCCTGACAAATCATCTGATCCAGTTGCCTTTCCATTTTTCATTAAGCTTATGACTTTTTTATACTTTGTACCTGATGATGACAAAACCTTGTTGAAACGTTGTACATTTGATGTTATGTGAAACTTATATTAAAGTTTTTCTTCATTACCCATTCAAGCCGTCTCCAGCCATTATTAGTCTCAAAGTGGGTTCCTCTTCATTGAATTTTTTATACTTTATCTTTAAGGATGGTTTGTCCAGTTGTTGCTCCAAAGTCTGGAATTGGTTCTCTATCATCATCATCATATAGTTCCATTATGTATTCTACCCATCTTTCTGAAATCTCTTGTTGATCAAATAGGATATTCCAAATCTTGTATTTTATGCATCCACTGTCTTTTCTTATGTTGTTCTTTATACTACTCAATTCTTTGACTTAATCATTAATTTGTTTGGATCTATGTAGACTTTCATGTTTCTCAATCTCTTGACATTGGTCTTTCAGTCAGTTTTATTTTGCTTTTCTGCATTCAGTTGTTATATTTCTATTTATTGCTTCATATCTGTCAATATTCTTGTATTTCTTTCTCAATTCCATCTTCTTTGGTATCTCATCAATCATTCATTTGCTTCCCTGTTTCTTGTTTTTAATGGAAAGTATTTCTTTGAGTGATTTATTTATTCTGTTCTTAACTGTATTCTGTCTTCTTTCTACCATATCTTTTTCATCCAATGTGTAGTCTAATTGTTGTTCTAGTTCTAGTATGTACAATAGATCAAAATTATTTTTCATTGGAACCAGTCATTGCTTTAGCTAAACACTTCTTTAGTATGATGCCTACTCCACCTGAATACACTATGATGTGATCTTCCTTGATGATCTTTCCATTTTTAATCTACCTGGTTTCCGCTAGTCCTAGTATATCTACGTTCATATTATTCATTTCTTTTATTACATTGTCTAATTTGCCAGCTTGAAAAAGAGTTCTTGTATTCCAGGTTCTAAAGTGTAAGAGCCTATCCCTCATTTTCAGATCAACATTATCATGTAACATCAACATTGTATATACCCGTATATTTAACAATAGCTTCATAAAAGCTTATTCACATTTTAAAAAACTTAAGAGAACATAATGTTGTATATCATTAAGTAGATGACTTCATGAAAATTGATGTAAATAGTGTCTAGACCAGCGTTTCCCAAACTATGGGTCGCGGAATGTTAGTGGGTCGTAAAAAGTTATACTAGAATTACGCATTAGCTTCGATTAAATGCTGTCTGTCGAGATAGTTCAAGACTCGGGCTTTCATTGCCAGGCTGTTGTTGCCAGGAATCAAAAACAAATTCCGAAATAAACTTCAATTGTCAAATTCCTTATGCATGAAACTAACCCACATTGATGTTGATGTCAATGCCATTCATGACAGTAACAAGAAACAACCACATCCTTCACACATGCCTCATTATTAATCAATTAGATAACATTTATAAATTCTGGAAATGTTATTGAAAATACGTGAGTATTTTTAAATGTAATTGAAATACGTGAATATGAATAAATAATATTCTTTATATTCTTTCATATGTTTTTGCCCAGTAAATTTGAGTGGGTCGCCATAAGCTGTGGTCATGAATAGTGGGTCACGATTCTAAAAATTTTGGGAACCCCTGGTCTAGACTAATACTTTACCTATCATTTCCCACCTGGCCTGATGAGCCCCGATATTTGGTGGAAGGCCTCATTGGCATTGAATATGACAACTGTGGCATGGCTGACACATTATAACATATTCTTCTTTGCTTTCACTCCTAGGTTCTTTGAAGCGTTGGTGCTACGACTAAGAGTCTAATGTATCCAGTTTATCATTCTGCATGAAATACAGCTTTTGTCTGAAACTCCTTAACTTTGCATGTTGTTTTATAAATACAGGGGTTTTTATATGGAATATAATAGTTACAGAACTATCTAGTGTTCAACATTTATTAAAAAAGTATAATTTATGGACTTTCTATGTATGTGTAAATATCACATTAAATTAAGTACACAGGTAAAGTCACTCAAATTTCTGATTGGGACCAGCTTTACCCTCTCTGGTCTTTCTATTAAATGTGATTTTTGTAACAACAATTTTTAAACATCAGCTAGGTACTTTGAAATGAAATGTCAATTGTGCAGTACTTCCCCCAATGTCCTATACATGCATTAACCATATGTCAGGTAGTATAGATATGTACTACATATTTAGTCACTACTTACCATTAGCAGACTCATCAAACAAAGTGACCGTCTGAGGATTTCTTCCATTAGCCATGATGCTTTATCATACATTTACAAAGTTTAAATTGATTCTTCAGCTTTGTTCAACCTAACAAAGAATTCTAATCAATTAATACAGAATTTACATTTTCCATAAATATAAACTAACATGAGCAAAACTATACAAAATTTAAAAACTGCTAAGCCTATTATCTTCACTTAATTGACTTAAACATAAAAAAAAATACCTGTCATTTTAGACTGCAGTACATTTCATATCACTAAAATAACCTTTTTATTGAAAATAGTGTTTTGAAAGTGTATATATATGTAGATGTAAATATTAGCATACATTCATACAGAGGCAAGTTCATCACAAAATAAAATTCTACCATTTAAATTTTCAGATCATCAGCAGGAATACATTTAAACTTCAGAACTGAAATAGGTGTTACAAAAAAATTTTTATATGCAAAATAATTAAACGGACAAACACACATGATATTTCTACCATCGTAATTTATTTCTACACATATTGAAACCCTAAGAAATACTTTCTGATCAAATATGAATGAGTGTTCTGAATACATGATCACATAGCAAATAATTTTAGTCTTTGCATTTTTGATTGTCCCAAAAGTTTTATAATATTGAAAGCTTGATATTTTTCATTTATTATCTCACAATGGGATAGTAGTAACTTTCTGCTAAAATCTAGGGTTTGATTCCATGAGATGGACAAAGCACAGATAGCCCTTTGTATAGCTTTGTGCTAAAAAATTGCAAAAATAAATAACAATTTTCATTTATTAGTACTTTAACTTCCCTTACTCATATATTTAATTAAATTATTTTAGTTTGGATGCAAGGTATTAGAAGCAATTAATTTATTTTAGATGAGTTTGATTAAAAAATTTTTTTGAAGCTTCTTTAAATTAAACATCAAATCTTGAATAAATTATAGGATAACCTTGCTAATCTTTCTTATATGAATAAACAAGCATATATTTTTTAGTAAAACCACTGTGTTTCACTAGGTTTACTTAAGGTAGGATCATCAAGAATGTAGGCATAGAAATTTCAAATTGTTGATGTGGGGTAAGTCTAAAACATAATGATAAAAAAAATATTTAAATATTAAAAATATTTTTTTTCTAGAACGTTCTGCAACATGCTGAATTAAAATCAACCTAATTATCAGAAATGCATGTCTCGCCAACTATTTGGCTTTAATTCCCATACACAAACTGAACAATTTAAAAATGAACTCATTTAATTATAAAACTTATTTTGTACTAGTACTCAAACTTATTGTAGTTTTGATTTTACAAATGCATGTACCACCATTACTCATCAAGCATTATCATGATTATGAATATGATGTCACTGTCAGTACCATTCCAATGATAGTATCACTATCAGCGATTATCAACAATCCCTAGTAAATGATTGTCATTATGTTATTGCTATAAATTAATGATAATTTATTTTTCTAAGAAAATGAAATTTATTGAAAGTACTTATTCGAGTTACTGACTTACTCAATACACTTGTTTTTAAAAACAAAATTTAATTGTGTAAGACAAAACATTCTTCCCTATACATAATACATTATACTTTATGGTGACTTTTCTCATATGCTTTTTATAAATAGAATTGACCTGATTAAAACTTACGGTCTCCAAAGAACAACATTCACAATATGTTTACAACTGCTCTCTCTCTTTACTTAAATTTAGCACGGATGTACATCCAACTTCCAGTGCAAGTTTATTATATTTAAACTCGCACACATTACGATAACATGATGCAACATGTTCGAGTAAAAAATTCCTTAAGTTATGGACCTTTGCTAAAATTTACAAAAATATCATGCAAGTATTACCCCCAAAAATATTCTTCCACTTTAAATTTTGTTTGGAATATTCTTTCCTTTTTATATTAAATTTAATAACATTTTAATCAATAATTAGTTGAATAATTACAGAATATAAAATTAATTACAGGAACAACTGTAACAACTTTTATGTTCATTGATAACATTTTCAATTGGTCTTGGTTTCTTCATGTACAACGCAAAGCGGTTAATATTAACATCAATATTTAAGACTTCCGGTTAATATTCTCTTTCCACAAAGTTATTATGTTGTCCATTTAACCAAAATGAAAAATGTAAGCATCTAGGTGATATAGATATTAGCTCAAATACTTACAAAATAAATTCATTAAAAAGTATGGTTTCAGTTTAGCTTCTTCTCATTCTTATTACGGATAGCTGTTTAAACTTTATAAATTATTCGTAAAACAGTTTTATTAATGCCTGTTAATCAATATAATTAAACGTTTTCAACTTACTCTAGCGATCTCCCCTTTCGGCTCTGAGAATGTGTGAACATAGCCATAAACTTACAAAGTTATAATAACTAAATCTCATGACATTAACTATGGCATCCATCCACTGTTAGAATCTCCTACTGTATTGTCAGTTGTTATAGCAGAAATGGACATGACCTCACCATTCGGCAATATAATCCATCTGTATTTCCGTGTTGCGAGGGCAGGTGATACTGCATGATTAAATCATACTACTTCAGCATTGTTATGGTTTTGATTTTTTTTTAGTTTATGACCATTTCAACGTTGCATGTTCCACTCGGACAGTGAACTTTCTACAATACCAATAGTGTTGACAGTGCGTCACAAAGATAGCAGCTGCAAAAAGTAATTTTTTTTTGTCATGAAGTAACTGCATTCAAGATTCGAGAATAAATAACTAGCATACATTGTTCCACATTCTACTCTTTCATGTAACTGCGAAAACCCTGTTCTGACTCCCATATCATTGGAATTTGGCAGGAATTCATAATACTGTCGTGGATATGCCAATATCAGAGCTTCTATTAAGCACACTTTAGGGACTAGAATGCTTATTTGCATTCCCCACTCCATTTAAAATTTGTTTCCACCTTAGTAAGAGCCGATAAAGGTGAGGCGATCTTAGAAATGTTAACCACAAGTCATCAGTAATACAATGTGAAACCATGACAACTGCAAACATCTCATTCGTCATAGGTTGAGGCCAATCTCATAATATTTGTATTTTATCAGGATTCATAGAGACTTCTTCTCTACCCACAATTTGATCGAAAAATTCCACATTAGTGAGAACGAATGCACATTTCCCAGGTTTCAATTTCAAACCTGTCTTTTTGTTGTTGTTGTTCGCTGGAATACCATTTTCAGGTTCTCAGCTGCAGAGTCAAATATGTGACCAAGTATTAAGATGTCATTAGCATAAATTAGACAATCTCCAAGTACTCAGATGCCAGATCTAAGTTGTGGAACCAAAAGATACTTTTAAACATGTCTAGACGTTCACCTGTTTGCAGTAGAGGAAAAGAATCAGCGCGAATTATAGCATTCACATGCGTAAAGAACCTGGGTACATCTTCCTCTTTCCTGACAATAACTACTGGAGACGACTAAGTACTTTTTGAAGTCTGTGTGATTTCATCCTTTAACATATGTTGTATTTCAGTGCTGGCTGTCTCTAGTGCTGCGTGGAAGCCTATATGGCAGTTGTTTAATTGGACGAGCATCATCTATATATATATGTGTGTGTTGAGTTGTATTTCAACCCATGAGTCATTTAGTCCTGTAAATACATCGCCATACTCAACAAGTCACTGAGTTGTCG